TTGGAGCTATCATGAAGAAATTTTAATTTTTTTTTTTCGAGAGAGAGATTTTGCTATAAGGCACATGTGCTCACCAGAGAGACAGAGAGGCAGAAAGCGAGAAATCACCTCCCAGGGGGAATAGCCACTCCGCAATCCCTTCTCCTCCATTCTCCTCTCAGGATTTTGGGCATGCACACACACTCGCCCGGCTTGAGTCGTAAGCCACCAGGTCCTGGACACGAACTGCAGTTGATGTAACCATTACACCAGCTGCTGGTCCCATAAATTTAAATTTTTTAAGAACTAGGTGAGAACTCATATCTGATGTAGGCAGAAGTGCACAGAGGTACACCATATTTTGGGCAGAATGTTGAAGATATGTATAGCCCATGACTCAGCAATTACACGCCTAGGTCTATACCCTAGAAAAATTGTTCCTCCTGTGCTCAGGAGACATTCACAATGAAGTTCATAGAAGCATTGTTGGTACTTATTTTTAAAAAAAGACAAAAAAAGGTAACAGCCCAAATGTACATCAGAATGTGTGACACACACATAATAGGATGTGACACAGTACTGGAAATGAACCATGTACAGCTACAGAGATGAATCTCAGTAACATCAAGTTCCTACAGAAACATTGCAGCAAAAGGCTACTAACAGTACACCATTTATATAAAGTTCACAAAATTATTTAAACATCCTAAGGAAAAACAAAGGAGTGGGGCTGGGGGCTCATGAGAAAAATTTTAATGGGTACAAGAATGTATGTAAATAAGAGAAAGAGGCTATGTGATGCTGTGTTAAAGCAGAGTAAAAAATATGGAAAATTGGGGCCGGCAGGTGGCATGGTGGTTAAGGCAGTTGAACTCCCATGTGGCTGACCACAGTTCGAATCCCGAACCTGGCAGCTTGCTTTCTCATTTTCCTTCTCTCTCTCTTTCTCTCTTGGGTCAACTTAAATAAGATAAAATAATCACAATGAATAAAATTAAATACTTCTTTTTAAAAAATATGGAAAATTTTGGGCCAGCCCTGTGGCCTGGTGGTTGGGGGGATTCAGATCCCGCATGGCTGACTATGGTTTGAGTTCCAGCCCTGGTGGCTCTGGAGGCATGCCAGGTGCATGTATGTATCTCCACAGTCCCAATGGGGTGGAGAGATTGAGGAAAGGGGACTGTGATGTGACTGTTTTATAATTTGACCAGAGAGAGAGAGAGAGAAAGGGAAAGTGAGAAAGCAAGCCACCAGGTCCGGGACTCAAACTGCAGTGGGCCATGTGGGAATCCAGTGCCTCAACCACCATGTCACCCGCTGGCCCCCGTTTTTGTTTTTATTTTTTGGAGAGGTTTTTACTATAGGGCCTGTGCTCTCACCAGAAAGACAGAGAGAGACAGAGAGACAGAAAGCAAGAAATCACTCTTCACGGCGGATGGCCACACCACAATCTCTTCTCCTCCATTCTCCTCTCAGGATCTTGGGCACGCACACACATGCGCCCAGTGTGAGTTTAAGCCACCAGGTCTGGGACTCAAACCATGGTTGAGTACATGGGAGTCCAGCGACATAACCATTACATCAACTGCTGGCCCTAGATTTTTTAAAAGATGATTGTGCCTTAGGGCATGTGCGCTCACCAGAGAGACAGAGACAGAGGGAAAGTGAGACATGATTCCCCTAGGGGGGATGACCATGCCAAAATCCCCTCTTCTCCATTCTCCTCCTGGGATTTTGGACACAGACGCACACATGCCCAGCACAATTTCCAAGCCACCAGGTCTAGGACTCAAACCATAGTCAGCCATGTTGGAGTCCAGCAATGTAATCGCTATGCCATCTGCTGTCCCCTGGATTTACTTTTTTAAGAATTATTTTATTATTCTTTTTTTTTTTTTTTGGAGAGGTTTTCACTATAGGCCGTGTGCACTCGCCAGACAGACAGAGAGAGACATAGAGACAGAAAGTGAGAAATCACCCCCCCCAGGGGGGATGGTCACGCCGCAATCCCTTCTCTTCCATTCTCCTC